TAAAATTTTATTTTTATAATTAATAATAATATTGTTTAAATTATGTTTAATAACAAATAATTGCATATTTGATTATAATAACAGAAATATAGAAAAATTTATTATCTCCTTGTTAAATATTATATAATTATTGCTCAGATTTAATGTTTTAATATAATATTTCTTTATTATTGGATTAGGTTCTTGCAATCTCTGATATAGTTATTTATCGCACAAGATCTGAACGATTATGTAATGATTTATTTACATTTTTGGGAGATGCATCTCAAGCTTATGTTCAACACTTTTCCCGTGAATTAAGAGCCGCTTCTGCTCGCTGTAATTTTGCCGGTCCATTATCGTCACTTGGGCCTGCTGTGATAATTTTTCATGAGACAACCCACACAAATATACTTACTACAGGTAATTGTGTGATTTTAAAAATATATTAATTTATCAAAAAATTCTAGTTAAAAAATTAAACAATTTGATTGCAAATAAGCAAAAAGTAATACCAATAGTTTATAGTTATAAAATTTTCATTTCGTATATTAATTTATATATAGTTTTTTTAATGTTATGACTTATTTCTGAAATGGCTGTTTTGTTAATTTTTTTTTTGTTTTTGCTAACAATATGATTGACTAAGTGTAGCTGTCTGCATGCAGCAAGAAGTAATGTGGTGTAATGCACCTAAGAAAAGGAATGCAGAATGATTTCAGGATCCAAAATTTCTCCCATGCATACACAAAATATCCCAAAATGACAAATAATACCATTTAAATTAAAATGATTTATCATTTTTCATTTTAATAATTATGATTGTATAACAAAACAATTTCTGATTTTTTTCCCTCAGTTTAGTAATAATTTATAAAGTTCAGGAAATTTTATTAAGAGAGAAATTTAATAAATATATACTTTTTTACATGAATTATACAGGATTTGTTAATGAATAATAAGTAATTGCTTTCTTTTTCAAAGCCATGTAAATTTATGGTTGTGGATTAATAACAGAATAAGCTACTTTAATTTAATAAACACTATTTTTAGTTTGGCAATTATAAAAACTATATAACTGTTAATTAGAAAAAAATAACTAATTAAAAAGTTGGAGAAGCAGTAGCATAGTAAATCAAATGCTGTTTTATTTTGTCAATGTGCTATACTGTAAAGAATGTGATGGTCAGGAAATTTGTACAAAGTTAGTCTGGGAAAATCATGGAATTTAAAGCAAAAATTTGAGTTCCACAGGGTTCCACCCTGTGTATATCATGTTTAGTCATTTTCCAGTTATTAAATTAAAATAAAATATAATTTTTGTTTCAAGATAAAATAATGAAATTTTTATTAATTTGTTATAACAGAAAATAATAAGAGTCCTGAAGATTTATTAAAACTCAGATTTCAAAAATTGGGACTGAGTATTGATGCTTTTAGTGCATTGGAATATGCAGGTACAAGAACTATCAGACCTCCAACTTTATTTGATGCTTTAAAAATTGCTATTAAAAAACATTTGCAAAATTCATCAGTAAGATCATGTCGTCCACCTGGTATAATTTATCAAGCTTTAAAGGTAAGAATTTCAATATCTCAGAAAAATTAATCTTTAAAACTTTTATTGTTAATATGTATTTAACAAAAATGTAAATAAAGTAAAAGTTATAAAAATTGTAATATTCAAAATTTAGAACATTAAATTTATTTAAAATAGATTTAAATTTTAAGTGTTAAAAGAAAATTACTTACAAAATACATTATTAAAGATAAAAATTACAAAAGAAATTACATATTTTTTAAAATAATGAGACAAAAGTAGGCCTACTTTCTTTGTTAAATGATGTCATTTCATAAGGATTTTTCATAACACTGAAAACGATTTTGACTAAATTATGATAAATGATAGACCAGTTTGGGGTGCATACACTACTAGAATATTAGAATTAGAATTTTTGATTTGGTGGAAATTGAATGAAAAATAATGATTTTTGTTAACAATATGTCTCTGGACAATTTTTATTTTCAAAAATTTATTTGAACTCCTTCCAACCTAGATAGTAAAATGAAAATTGGTTAATGAAACAAAGAAAATTAATAGATGTTTTTGAGATAGGTAAAGTGCATGCACTTGCAAGAGGGAAATAAAGATTTGGAGTTTGGGAGTTGTAGAATGCTCTAAATGATTTTGGAATGATTATGAGTGAAAAAGAATTCATTAAAATTGATGATAAAAGAAAGAAATCTCTATTTAATACCTCCAATAATTTTTTATTGATATTTTAAATGTTGAGGCTCAAGAAATGTTTGATAATGAAGATTCTCTTTGAACGAATTTTTGATATTCCTTACAACTCTTCAGTAAAATATTTCTAATGAAAATCAGTTAATATTAATTCAACTTTATTCTTATAACCTTAAAAAAAATTGTATTATTTTTAACATTGAATTTACCTTACTCTTTTGCAGGCATGCATGTCCTTATCTAGCTCAAAAACATCTACTAATTGTCTTTATTTCATTAACCAATTTTCATTTTATTATTCAGATTGGAAGGAGTTCAAATAAATTTTTGAAAATAAAATTTCTCAATACAAATAGTATTAAAGAAAGTCACTTTTTTTATTTTCTCAATTCCAGAAAGTCAAAAATTTTAACATTCTAGTACTGTATGCATCCCAAAGTGTTCTATCGCTTATCATGATTTAGTGGAAATCACACTCACAATGTTATCAAAAATCCTTATGAAATGACTTCCTTTTTTTATCATTGATAGGTGTGTTTTAAAAGACAGTTTAATTTGATTACTTTAATTAAACTGGACAATCTGCTAAATAATTGAGCTATAATAAAGTTAAATTTATAACTTTGTATTTAAATTATTTGTGTCTAAGTATTAACTTAACCTTATTATAGCTCAATTTATTCAGCAGATTGATTTCAGTTTAATTTGAATTTCAGAGCTTAGTTTTGAGTTTAGATTAGAAAATGCACATTAATTAAAAATATCAATATATAAATGTGATATTTTTAAAAATCAGTATTAATTTAATTTAATTAAGAAAAGTTTTTGAATATTTTTAAATTAAGAGTTTTGTTAACTTTTAGGTATTAAATGAAAAATTTAGTGGTGATATAGATAAAACTATACCTAGTACATTTCCTGATCAATATTTTACTTGTAATGCTTATTGTCAGTCATGTGGGTAAGTATATTTTTGAAAAAATAACTAATTTTAATTATAAATAATTTAATTTTCATCTGATAACATTTTAATTAAAATTATATAAAAGGGAAACTAAATAAAAATGTGATAAAGCTTCATTTCTATTGTAACATCTTAATAATAAGATTAATGAATTTAAATTTAAAAAACTGCATCATTTTAAAGTTTACATGGTATATGATATTTCATAAAATACTATTAACATAAATAGCATGTATATTGTATTCTCTTTGGAAACATGATATATAATTTATAATTGGTAATTGTTCTAATTATATATTATTAATTTTTTATTGACTGCAAACATTGCTGAAATTAATACTTTATTTTTGCGGCTTGACCGGCATGCCACATATTACTGGGGGAGACCAGAATGCTGGTTAAACTGTGACTAAAAAATAAAATTAATCAGATCTAACAAAACTAGTTGTTAAATAAATGTTAAAGAAAACGTTCTTTCAAGTAAAACATTATAATTTGACTGACTTAAAATCAGAAAGCTAGTTTTGTTTACAGTACAATAAAACAATTAGTGGCTTATTGACATTACTTGTAGTAGTAAATGGTCAGTGTGGGATGCACTGACATTCTACTCTGATCTTAAAAATNAATGCACCTAAGAAAAGGAATGCAGAATGATTTCAGGATCCAAAATTTCTCCCATGCATACACAAAATATCCCAAAATGACAAATAATACCATTTAAATTAAAATGATTTATCATTTTTCATTTTAATAATTATGATTGTATAACAAAACAATTTCTGATTTTTTTCCCTCAGTTTAGTAATAATTTATAAAGTTCAGGAAATTTTATTAAGAGAGAAATTTAATAAATATATACTTTTTTACATGAATTATACAGGATTTGTTAATGAATAATAAGTAATTGCTTTCTTTTTCAAAGCCATGTAAATTTATGGTTGTGGATTAATAACAGAATAAGCTACTTTAATTTAATAAACACTATTTTTAGTTTGGCAATTATAAAAACTATATAACTGTTAATTAGAAAAAAATAACTAATTAAAAAGTTGGAGAAGCAGTAGCATAGTAAATCAAATGCTGTTTTATTTTGTCAATGTGCTATACTGTAAAGAATGTGATGGTCAGGAAATTTGTACAAAGTTAGTCTGGGAAAATCATGGAATTTAAAGCAAAAATTTGAGTTCCACAGGGTTCCACCCTGTGTATATCATGTTTAGTCATTTTCCAGTTATTAAATTAAAATAAAATATAATTTTTGTTTCAAGATAAAATAATGAAATTTTTATTAATTTGTTATAACAGAAAATAATAAGAGTCCTGAAGATTTATTAAAACTCAGATTTCAAAAATTGGGACTGAGTATTGATGCTTTTAGTGCATTGGAATATGCAGGTACAAGAACTATCAGACCTCCAACTTTATTTGATGCTTTAAAAATTGCTATTAAAAAACATTTGCAAAATTCATCAGTAAGATCATGTCGTCCACCTGGTATAATTTATCAAGCTTTAAAGGTAAGAATTTCAATATCTCAGAAAAATTAATCTTTAAAACTTTTATTGTTAATATGTATTTAACAAAAATGTAAATAAAGTAAAAGTTATAAAAATTGTAATATTCAAAATTTAGAACATTAAATTTATTTAAAATAGATTTAAATTTTAAGTGTTAAAAGAAAATTACTTACAAAATACATTATTAAAGATAAAAATTACAAAAGAAATTACATATTTTTTAAAATAATGAGACAAAAGTAGGCCTACTTTCTTTGTTAAATGATGTCATTTCATAAGGATTTTTCATAACACTGAAAACGATTTTGACTAAATTATGATAAATGATAGACCAGTTTGGGGTGCATACACTACTAGAATATTAGAATTAGAATTTTTGATTTGGTGGAAATTGAATGAAAAATAATGATTTTTGTTAACAATATGTCTCTGGACAATTTTTATTTTCAAAAATTTATTTGAACTCCTTCCAACCTAGATAGTAAAATGAAAATTGGTTAATGAAACAAAGAAAATTAATAGATGTTTTTGAGATAGGTAAAGTGCATGCACTTGCAAGAGGGAAATAAAGATTTGGAGTTTGGGAGTTGTAGAATGCTCTAAATGATTTTGGAATGATTATGAGTGAAAAAGAATTCATTAAAATTGATGATAAAAGAAAGAAATCTCTATTTAATACCTCCAATAATTTTTTATTGATATTTTAAATGTTGAGGCTCAAGAAATGTTTGATAATGAAGATTCTCTTTGAACGAATTTTTGATATTCCTTACAACTCTTCAGTAAAATATTTCTAATGAAAATCAGTTAATATTAATTCAACTTTATTCTTATAACCTTAAAAAAAATTGTATTATTTTTAACATTGAATTTACCTTACTCTTTTGCAGGCATGCATGTCCTTATCTAGCTCAAAAACATCTACTAATTGTCTTTATTTCATTAACCAATTTTCATTTTATTATTCAGATTGGAAGGAGTTCAAATAAATTTTTGAAAATAAAATTTCTCAATACAAATAGTATTAAAGAAAGTCACTTTTTTTATTTTCTCAATTCCAGAAAGTCAAAAATTTTAACATTCTAGTACTGTATGCATCCCAAAGTGTTCTATCGCTTATCATGATTTAGTGGAAATCACACTCACAATGTTATCAAAAATCCTTATGAAATGACTTCCTTTTTTTATCATTGATAGGTGTGTTTTAAAAGACAGTTTAATTTGATTACTTTAATTAAACTGGACAATCTGCTAAATAATTGAGCTATAATAAAGTTAAATTTATAACTTTGTATTTAAATTATTTGTGTCTAAGTATTAACTTAACCTTATTATAGCTCAATTTATTCAGCAGATTGATTTCAGTTTAATTTGAATTTCAGAGCTTAGTTTTGAGTTTAGATTAGAAAATGCACATTAATTAAAAATATCAATATATAAATGTGATATTTTTAAAAATCAGTATTAATTTAATTTAATTAAGAAAAGTTTTTGAATATTTTTAAATTAAGAGTTTTGTTAACTTTTAGGTATTAAATGAAAAATTTAGTGGTGATATAGATAAAACTATACCTAGTACATTTCCTGATCAATATTTTACTTGTAATGCTTATTGTCAGTCATGTGGGTAAGTATATTTTTGAAAAAATAACTAATTTTAATTATAAATAATTTAATTTTCATCTGATAACATTTTAATTAAAATTATATAAAAGGGAAACTAAATAAAAATGTGATAAAGCTTCATTTCTATTGTAACATCTTAATAATAAGATTAATGAATTTAAATTTAAAAAACTGCATCATTTTAAAGTTTACATGGTATATGATATTTCATAAAATACTATTAACATAAATAGCATGTATATTGTATTCTCTTTGGAAACATGATATATAATTTATAATTGGTAATTGTTCTAATTATATATTATTAATTTTTTATTGACTGCAAACATTGCTGAAATTAATACTTTATTTTTGCGGCTTGACCGGCATGCCACATATTACTGGGGGAGACCAGAATGCTGGTTAAACTGTGACTAAAAAATAAAATTAATCAGATCTAACAAAACTAGTTGTTAAATAAATGTTAAAGAAAACGTTCTTTCAAGTAAAACATTATAATTTGACTGACTTAAAATCAGAAAGCTAGTTTTGTTTACAGTACAATAAAACAATTAGTGGCTTATTGACATTACTTGTAGTAGTAAATGGTCAGTGTGGGATGCACTGACATTCTACTCTGATCTTAAAAATAACACTATCTCAAATTTCACACAAAGTGGATGTTAATCAGTGTAAGTTGAGATGATTTACTGCAAGTTTCTGAAATTTGATGTTTTTGTGTTTTTGGATTGAATTATAATAAAATATAAAAAAGCTCTTTTGACATTTCATGTTAGAAAAAGAAAAGAAGATGAAATGAAGAAATTAAATGTGTAATTGTAGTTTTTGATGTAATGCTGACAGTTTCACAGTTTTAGAATAAAAACTTTTTTTAGTGTTCCCTAGAGAAGGATGTATAACCTCACCAGCAATTATTTATTGTGACATCATCACAATGCTGGGCTGCAATTTTTAATTTAAAATATATGCACTCCACCTCAAATTAGTAGTGGCTTGCCCCTGTACATCATACTTTTCCTTTAACAATAGAGTTGTGCCGGTCATCTTTTAACTCTTTTCAGAAGTTTTGAATTAAAATAACCCGACTTCTGGTTTGCATTGGAAGTTTGTATATAGTTGATTGGGGTCTCCAGCTCAAGATTTTCATATCTGGTCTCATCTTTCATCTATTTGATTCCATTCTTGAGATTAAGAAAAGACAGATGGACAACAGTGGAAATTTATAGGTCTACAATTTTTTCAAATTGCAGACCAATAAACTGGCATGCCGGTTTTTACCATATGGAAATATCTGATTTCATGGTCTTCCCTGGATAGATAGACATGCCAGACAATCTGCAAAAGTACAGTATTTATATTTTTTGTACTGTACAATTTCAAA